ACATCCCCTCGGTCACGTGGTCACATGACCCCGGGAGAGGGCAACCATCACAAGGGCCTGAGGTCAGATGCTTGGCAACTGACTCGTATTTATGACGGCTGCAGTGTCCCAGAGTCATGTGACCCCCTTTTGCGATCTTCTGATTAAGCAGAATCAATGTGGAGGCCACTTAACCACCCCGTTGCTAACTTAACAAGGGTGGTGACTCGCTTAACGGTGGCAAGAAAGGTTAAAACGGGGCAAAACTCACAACAGCTGTCTCGCTTAGCAACAGAAATTTTGGATTTAATGGTGGTCGTAAGTCAAGGATTACCTGTATTGTGGTCTATAGCTTTCAAAGACGTAGAAACTTGCGCACGGCTAAGATTGAGAAACTGCGATTTAGAAGGAAGTCCGGTCTACTGGTTGCCATGATTCCTTGACTTGAGAAGATCAGATGCCAGCAGCTTTTCGCTTCCACAACCATGAGGGATAGAAACTTGGTTTTTAAGAGTGCTGAGGTTCTAGAGATCTATGTCGGTTTTATTTTTCCTTTCCTGCTTAGCAGCATTACGCAAACCCCCTTGGTCTTCTAGGCGCTCTTATGCTACAAAGGTCTCTGTCTTGGGATCAGATGCCAATGGCTGAAAATGTGTCCTTTTTCTCTTCCACCACCATGAGGGATAGAAACTTGGTTTATAAGAGTACTGAGAGTCTAGAGATCTCTGCTGGTTTTATTCTCCGTTTCATTACGCAACCCCCTTGGTCTTCTAGGAGCTCTTATGCTACAAATATCGGGCTGAAAACACGGGGGTGGCGAGCACAACGAGACGCCGCTGTTTCCAACCGCCTTCTGGAGATTTCCATCTGCTCTGGCAGCGCAGCTTCCCCAGCCCTTTGTTATCCATGGACTACGTAGACCTGACCTGCGATGGCCTCTGTGAACTGGCCGTGGTGTGTCTGAAGGGGTTGCATGTGCTCCAGGTTTGTGTGCAAGGAGAAGGCGGGGAGGGGGTAAGAGAAGCACCTTCCGCAAAGCCCACCCAATAGGCAGAACCAACGTTTACCAGAACATTCGTGTTTTTTTTTTCATTTTTTTTTTTTCATTTTATTCAATTTGTATCCCGCCCTTCTCCCGAAGGACTCAGGGCGGCTCACAACATTTTTTAAAACAGAAACAAACCCACAAGTTACAAATAGCTATCCTGCAAATCGTCTAGTCCAGAGTTCCTCGGCCTTCCTAGGGAAGGAAAGAGAGAGGCGGGCGCCTTGATTCGCGCATGGGCACACCACAAACGGAGCCGTGAGCGCACGGCGACGCTAGCGTTTACGCGATGCAGCAACGCTAGCATTTATGCGAGTGGCGCTCGTGGCGATGCTAGCGTTTACGAGATGCAAGTGCCCACACAACCCTCGCGGCAACGCTAGCATTTACGTCAGACATGCCAAACACAAGGCCCGGGGGCCGGATGCGGCCCGCGGAGTGGTTTCATGTGGCCCGTGAAGCCATCCTGGAAACAGTGAGGGAACGGCCCCCGCTGCCTTGGCCTTGGCCCTGGCCCAGGCCGGCCGGAAGCCAATGTACAATTTTGTGATGGCCATCTATGCTGAAAGGCATTCAGTCTTAGCTCCACAAGGCCGTCTGGAAACAGCGAGGAACCAGCCCCTGCCATATTGGCCCCGTCCCCTGGGTGCATGCTGGGGAGGGGTCACCCTTTGTGAGGAATGAAGAAATGGACCGTGCCTTGGCGCTTGCCCCGGTCTCACCCCTTTCTGCCAGAGACCCTCAGATCTGTCCCACTCCTGCCCAGGCCCCCACAGGCACCCTTGACGCAAACGATGTAGAGCTGGCCACGCCCACCCAGTAGGCCACACCCACCCTGGCCACACCCCCCCAAGGGCAACTGCAATGCTGATGCAGCCCTCAATGAAATTGCGTTTGACACCCCTGATTTACGTGATGTGAGCGCCGTGCGACGCTCACGGCGACGCTAGCGAGGGGGGATGAGTGCATACACGTTCCCTGGCCAGCCATTCACGTGGCCCGGTGGCCAATAGGCCACGGCCCACAGGAGGTTGGGGACCCCTGTTCTAGTCCGTTTTCGCTTTTCCTTTCCTTTAACTGCTTCTCCTCCTCCGTACAGCACAGCCTGACGGACGTCCTCCAGTGTCTTCTACAGCGCCTCCGGTTGGAAGCAACAAGCCGGGCATCCCATCTGAATGTGTCCGTGCAGGACCCAGATTCCAGGGTTGAGGATACGGAGGGCCAAGGACCCGGAGCGTGAGGTGCTGGCTGGGCCGTCTCGCCTGCTCTTTTCATCCCCAAGAAATGAAGAAATGGAATCGGGAGCAGAATCTCATCCCGAGGATTCTCCTGGCCTTCTGCAGGGTCCCAGAAGCAGCGTGGACATTTAAATAAGCGGCTGGGAAGGGCAGGGAAAACACCGGTCCCTTCCCATGTCACTTCCCTGGCATAAACTGCAGCCGACCGGAAAAGGGACGTGCCTCAAATACAGGAAGTGCTCCGTGGCCGGCCAAGTTTAGTAACTTTTTTTTTTTCTGTGCCTCCAAGGCGGGGTGGCTACCCCGAATGACGGCGCCCATCATAAACATAAAATGAAAAAATGACAGGATGAGTGGGGTCTGCTCTCTGTCAGGACAGATATCTGGAACGGCAAGACGGATACGGCTCCTAAGTTACTAGAACTCAGCGTCCTTTCTGTCCATCTGGCAGTTCCCCACGGCTTCTGAGGGCCAGGGCCCCTTAATCTTCCAACAGAACGGAAGGAAAGTATCAAAGGGTGATAATAAGAGGCAAGGAAGCACATCGCTCCAGGCCTTTGGCTGCCCCGAGTCCCCTTTTTGCCGTCGTCCGAAGTCTGAGATATTTGCCCCACAGAATGGCTTCTTCCTTACCTCCTTCTGGCCTTCCCCCCCCCCCCCCCCATTTGTCCCCTCCTAAACCGATAACTCTGGAAAAGGAAGGAATCCAGCAGAAAGCCATTGGACGCCGTATCAGCTCACAAGATGTATGCGTTCTACCCTTAGCAGTGACTCGAACTCAGTTCTTGCTTGACAGCTACTTGGGAGCGTCGGATGTTTTGAATGGAGCTAGAACTAAGGAGGAAATTCCTGAAAGTGAGAGCAATTCATCCGTGGTACAGCCCGCCTCCAGAAGCGGTGGGTGCTCCCTTGCTGCAGGTTTTTAAGAAGAGACTGGACAGGCGTTTGTCTGAAATGTTACACGGTCTCCTGCTTGAGCAGGGGGTTGGACTAGAAGACCTCCGAGGTCCCTTCCAACTCTGCTCTTCTGTTATCCGAGCTTTTTGTCCAGGCAAGAGTTTTTAATAAAGGAAGGAGCCTCTTCTTTCAGCCCTGGGGCCAGGAGCAGCAACAGCTGAGGTACTTCTATCTTTGACCCTTTGGAAGGAAGAGGCAGCCCCATGGGCTTGCGAGTCAACGGCCTCCTTCAACGCCGAGGCTACAAGCGTCTGTCAATTGAGCACTCTGCCTTGTACGTTTAGATGGTGTTTGGTGCTAATGGGGGAGGCTGTGGGGTGCCATTGCTCTTCCCCACACCAACATCTCCAGATTCTGGCTTTCCTCCTCCTCCTCCTCCTCCTCCTCCTCCTCCTCCTCCTCCTCCTCCTCCTCTCCACAAACCCCACTCTATTCTAACACTGATGTTGTTACCTAGTTGGGTCATGAAACATCTGCAAGAAAACAGAGAACAGCAAGGACACCACAGTCTTCCTCCTCTT